ACCCAGAAGCCACAACAATCTTTTCAATCATGTAAAGTTGTTTTGAGAACTTCTGGATAGTATGCATGTCTGTTAAACAGTTTATACTAATTTCTGTTTCAAAGTCCAATGTAAATAAATGTATATTGTTTCACAATTAAATTTCATATTTAACATTGATATTTGTTCAGCAATTTCAATTAAATTTTAACATATTTTAAACGGTCCATATGTGATTAGTGGTGCATATAAGGCTTTTAAATGGTAACAGTGTACATGTACATATATTCCAATGGTTAAGGTGTATGAAAATTATGCATATATATTGAAAATTATTTTTACAATCCTTGTATTACGAAGTGAATGACATAATGATAAGAAAAAGGGTATACATGTTAATCCCAGGAATAAGCACCATAATATTGATTTGAAGGAATGTATTCTAATCATTTTGGAAGCATAAAGACGTGGGGCTGTTACCACACTCTCGTAGCAAAGTGATGGCAAAAATAGGGCAAAAAGAAAGACAGGAAATACCATAGGACTGTAGCATCATAGGAAAGGAACAGTCCTCAAGACCTCAGCTCTTCTGTGTAGGTGTTTAGTCTGATCCACACTGACCATTTTTGTGTGCTTTGCAGTACTTCTGCTCCACTTAAGGGCATTACTCGTAGTCTCAGTACCTACATGGAACAGCAGTGTGCAGTAGCAGTAGGAGGACTGGACAAGTCTTGCAACCTTTCTCAAGTTAAAATTCCTGGCTAACAGCGTGCTTCATGATATTGTGTCAATGAATGGGTGCCTCTGTCATTATGAAAGGAAATAATCAATTACACATGTAGAACTGCTCTACTCTGTTATTTAAGTGAAGCAGCAATGAAGGACAGAAACATAGAGTGGCTGTGATTGTAATAAGGCTTTATTGCAAGAGGCTGCAAAAATTTACTAGGATAAGTAACCCACAAACCTCAGTTATCTCCAAAGATTGGGGAACTGTTCCTTTGATTCCAGAAAGGAATCCTTGCTTGTTTCTCCTGTTCACTTACTTGCAGAGATTAGAGGATGGTACATTAGTGGAGTTACAAAATATCCCACTTTGCTAACCATTTACCATTGTGCGTTCTACAAGCAGGTTTCTTACGTATCATGGGGGGGGGGGGGGGTTAGAAATGATTAGTAAGAAGCAGTTACTACAAACACAACAAATACTTAATGATAAACATTAATAGCTGCTGGAAAACCCTACCAAATTAAATTATGATGTATTTTCTCTCTTGAATCCTTCAGATCAAGACTGGGTGGTTTCTGAAGAGATGCTTGAGTCCTAGAATTTGTCTTATATACAGGAGGAAGTGACCAAAATTCTATGACTTACTGATTGCAACTTAGACTAATGGCAGTTTTGCATCTTGGATATTGAGATGCTTAAGTTACCTCCAGAGGAGGAAATATGTCTGTAAGTGTTATAGCCATTCACTGACTGAAATGTCAGGTAGCACTAGCTTAGATGCGGTGCCACAAGAATATACCTGTACAGCTTTTGGACTTAGTTTGTCGTAATGTGATGGTGCCTGTATGAATTTGCAAGCATGTACCTGCTTGGGTGTCTGTGCAGTGCCACACACTGTAGGCATTCTTTGCATGGTCTTTATTGGCCTTAAAGTCAGTGAATTTACATGTGAAAGACTAAGAACTCAGAGAAAGAATGAGGCAAGATTTCTTCTGCGCTGGTGAAATCAACACTGGTCATGAGAAAATTCAAACAGATCATAAGCAAAGTTTTTGATGAGCAGTCTTAGAACTGAAATAATTTAAAGATTGAGCAGCACATAGGAAGTCCAACAAGGAGTTCCAAATTGGGAGAGGGGAGGGGGCTGATTGAACAAAAAATCTTTGGAGCAAGAGATGGAAATAAAATGCATGTTAGACCCAAGGATTTCTTACTTATTTAAATGAGAGAAATTTAAATGTATTTAGAAGAGAAAATACAAAGAAATAAGTAGAGAGGACAGGGCACCAGATCTAATCCAAAGCTTAAGGAGACAACTGGGCTGACATTTTATTTCTGTGCAGCGGAAAAACCTAATTAATGTAATTATTCTGGGACTTCAATGAAATCTGAACAGGTTAGAATCACAATTGTGTACTTTTGAAGTAAAACTGTGTCTAGAGGAACTAACTGTAGTGACATCATTTCTCCTTGTCTACCTTGACACTAGAAAATAACCAATAAAGCCTATTTTAGGATATTAATTGTTACTTTTTTTTTTTCCTGGATGTCTGTAGTTTTGTTCCAGCTTTTTAAAATTTGATAGAAATTTTACAGTACTGTTTTCAGAGCCAGGTACTGTATTTTGTATCCATCAGCATCATTCCATTGATTTGAATGGAGTGACAGTGATTTACATAACCTGTTGACCTAGTCTCGTTTTATCTTTAAAGCTTATCATCAATGACACAATAGAAGAGGAGAAGGATGCACAAAAAATATTTAATGAAGTTTTGTCTGGTTGAAATGTTGTATAATAATTTTGTTTGTATAGCATCTGTAAAGCCAAGTATCAGGTCCCTGGCCTAGAGAAATTCTCTTTTGAAGACACAGCAAATGCAGTTCCATGGAAAGGCAGTGGAGAGCCCAGCGGGACTGCTGGCAGCAGCAAAGTGAATACGAGTAGCCTTTTGTCCTCAGTTGATAAGGGTAGTGCTTCTTTTTTAGATAGTTAAAATGTCAATGAGAATGTTTTGTGGGATAGAGTTTTGGGGGCTAGAGAGAAAGTAAATAAGCTGAATACCAGTCTCAGGTATTGTCCCATGGTTTTAAAAGATCTAAGGGGTACAATTTACACTTCTAAAATACAATGAAACCCAAACTTACTGCCTCATAGTCAAAGGTCTTCTTACTTAAAGCTTATGTTTCTGTACTGTAACTAGAACTTGATAGAGAATTATATGTCTGTCTAAATACACTGATGGAATAGCAGTAATAGGCATTTAATTAATACTGATTTCTTTAGCTTTTTGTAGGCTATCACATGACATTTTTTTCCTTGTTAACTGGACTATTACTGAACTGAGAACAGAGGAAGGATTTCTTTTGTCTATAAAACCAGTTGGAGTTTGGAGGGTTTTATTTTGTCTAAAGATAAATGCTTCATTAAAAAAACCCCACAAAATCTCCCCCTTCTGTTTTATACTGACAAATTTTTCTTGATGATAATAATTTTAAATATATATACAATATTAAGGTCTAACTTTGCCAAACACCACTTTTATATTGAACTTCTCTCAAGTATTCTCTGAAATTTATAGCTGTTTGAAGTCAAGACAAATATGTTTCTAGATGATAAATTAGAGAAGATGCCACCTCTTTAAAATAATTTTTCTGATGCATATCTACATTATTGAAACAAACAATTTTAAGACTTAAAATTGTTTTTACTACCATAGTTCACATTTTTTTCAAAATGTAAGTCAAAAGTCAGACTTAATAGTTTATTTATGTATGGGTCTAGATAGTATGTGTGTTCTTTTCTCCAGCTTATTTGAAATATTCATATAACTACAAACTTCTGGTAATTTACAGCCCACCTAAGTAGAGTGCCATTCTCCAAATGGGAGGGTAAAAAGGTGAATGTGATTTTAATAAAGGCAAGAGATAACACAAAAAGGGAAGTGGAAGGAATGAGTAAAGAAAGGAGAAATAAAGACAAAACATTTGGCTTTGCCACTTCTTCAAGTAATCCCTGGATATGTTTGCATCATGGGGCTTGCAGGCAGACACAAGTTTATCCTACCTGCAATTTGGAAGAGGCTGTATATGAGCTTTCTCTTAATTGGAAATTACATAGCAGTGCTAAGCCTGCAGAACATACACCTGAGGATTGATCTAAATTAAATTCTTAAAATGCTCTGGACAATTTTATGACCATCAACAATATTTTAAGCTTTTTTAATCTGTATATTGCTCAGATTAATTTTATGATAATTATTGAGCTTCTAGCCAACAGTCACCAAAACAGTTTGTTCCTCCCCAGTATAATACTCCAGAAACATATATGTACCCTAAACTTTTTCAGAGAATGAGGTTTCTTTGCTAGAATAAGGATAGCTAAGTAATTGATCTGACTGATTTCTGCAGATGGATACTTTACTGTGTAATGCATGAGTGTACTTCATACAACAGAGCTAATTTTGAGCTCCAAGCAGACACTCTACTGCTGTGCTAGCCCACAGTAGAGTATGAAGGATAAGTGATACAATCGTATTGAGAGTGAATAAATTTTTTGTTTATGACAAATTTTTATCACCATTTGAAAACTAGTTTAAAATGTCATTTAAATAGTGAATGCAAATCAAATTAAACACTTCTCTAGTATCATGAGTGCTCCAGTAGTGTAAGTCATTGAATTTACGTGATAGATTTGTTAAGCTTTCTTAGTCCGGCCTTGGAATCGGTATACACAGTCTTATTGAGATGTTGTAGGGGATGTAGAAAAGGTGATTATTGATAATCCTTTGTGTTGCTGCATCAGGTGTATTATTACATCTTTTAGTAGATAAGCTTACAAATATGTGGGTTTGGTTTTTTCAGGCTATTAAAAAGGGGAGCACAGAAACCAAAGTTATTGTAATAAGAATCAACCATGTAATCTGAATTAAATGCACATACTCTATTAGCATGTGTCAAAGCATTATATTTATATCTCAAAATCAAAATAAACAGTGATATAAATGAATAACTGTGAATTCCTGTTTTCCATTTCAGGTCAAGAGATGGAGAACAGAATTTCAGTTTCCATTTCCAAAAATATTTTGATGGATACTTGAATTATTCTGTCATATGTTGGTTATAAATAGTGGTTTAAAAACTTTGTATAAAAAGCCATGAGTGATTTTACAATTCCCTGTACTTATTGTGTGTGTGTCTGTTTTTAAGACATTTCAAGTCTTTGGGTGTTTTCTGAGATAACTGTATCCCACTATTACTTGTTAGATCTGACAGGATTTGTGTTCTCTTTCAGGAGACACTGATAGATTGGTGTGATGAAAAAGAACTTAATTTGATTTTAACTACTGGAGGAACAGGCTTTGCACCACGAGATGTCACTCCAGAGGTGAGATAGTCCTGGAACAAGAAAACGTGCCCTTTGGTGTAGAAATGTATAAGTCTGGGGGAGGGGGATGATATTTTTTTTTTTTTTAATTTCCTCTGTAACTTTACTTTGCAGTATCTCTGGACAGGTCAAGTGATACACAACTTGAAAGCAGAAGAAGCAATAGGGAATATAGCACGAGAATTACTCTGACCTTGGGTTCTGACCCAAAACAATTTTCAAACTAAAATTCGGCATAGTACAATGGATTTCTAGTCCGCTTACAAAATGAAATTCTGACAGCTTTTTGGCGCAATTTTCCTTAGCACTGCAGTACAATACTGCTAAGCAAACACTTGTGTGGCTTTTGTTGTGTCCTGCACAAGGAAAAGTGGAATAAGAGAGATCCTTCAATTCTCTCTTGCAGGCTACTGCATTGACAACTACTGCGTTATAGGTTAGAGTGTGAGAGGTAGATAGTAGGGGGAAAAAATTCTGTGCAAAGCTGCTATTGCTTTGCTTGACACAACATTGTTAAAAAAAACCTAAACAGGCACAGAGATGGAGGTAACCTGCACCAGTAAATGTTGCACAGGAAATCTGGTTACATTATACTTATAAGGAGCTAAGGTAAGGAAAAAAAAAAAGGAAACTTAGCCTAATAAGCACATGGCCATGAGTTGTAATATGAAATGACTGTGGATTGCTGTTGAAGTATTTGGGTATTTATGGTTCCAAATTAGACTAATATGAACTTTTAAAATCACATATTTTGTTTGGTTTGCTTATGTTCACTAAAGGGCAAAATTAAGATTGAGTGCCTGAAGTGTTTATTTCCATAATTTAACATATTTAGATTTCTCTTAAGTACTTATATAAGTTTTCAATTGCTTAGATTTTCAACTTAGAGTTGATTTGAGTTCATTATAACATGCCTACAATGCTTTTTACTTAGAAAAGTGTTCTGTCAACCGTGGCTGCCATTTAACTTCTTTCCATTAGGAATCTAAAAATATGTTTAAATTTATTGTATAACATTCGTATAACTAAACAAACATGTAAAGAAAATGCTGCTGTGCATTACCTCTGATGGTTTTAGATTATACATTAGAAACTTTAAGTAACCAAAACCTAAGGGTCTGTGTATCAGAAAATGGGAACAGCGTAAGATGACCGGAGTGTGCTACCTAGTGAAACTGAATTTGGAGATGATTCACTGTACTAAAACAACACAGAAGTGAAAAGTGTGTTGGTTGCATTTGTCTCTTACTTGCAAAATAACTTAATGGTTTTGAAGCTTGTGTAAAAGGAGGGCTGAATTTCTGCTTTGGTTTTCCTGTTTTATTACCTTTATGCAGGGTCAAGCCTAGGCAGTAGTGCCAGGGAAGCGTTACAGCCAGTCCCCAAAATTAGTCACAGATTCGCAAGCAGCATTTGGGACAAGAAATAAGCAAATGAGATCTCTGCACATAAACACCTAGTATTTTCCTTACATTGCTTCATTACTGTTACTCAAACTAATTATTTAAGACAGGTGGTGATGATTTATTTGATCAGTTTTTATCTTACAGTGAGCCATTTTAAAAATTATCTGAGTTGTTGAAGTGTCTTTAGACTGTGTAATAAAAACACATTGATATAAAAATCATTAATAACTTGTACTGAAGAAAAAATGCCTTGTTTTTAAACATAATAGGTATGCAAGACTTCGGTTGGTTATAACAGAATTAAGTGTTCTGACAGTGGAATTAATCCCGTACTTAGAAAGAATTTATATAGGACAGTATTTACTAACTTTTGACTCATTTAAATTGGATTAACATGCAAGACTAAACTGAAATCACAGTGGAGACATTGAATCCCAGTTTTTATTACAAAGTGGCAATGACAAGGTTTGTTCTTATGATAGGGTTTATTAGATCACTCATTCAAACAAACGTTTTTAAGGGAAGAAAATTAGTTTGCCAGTATGTGTCATAACAAAAACATATGAAGAAGCGTAAGCTTTGGCCCCATATTTTATGTCTTTTGGGTCAATGAGAGAACTAATTCAAAATGGAAAATTCATCATGTCGACATGAAATGTGCACTAGCAAGCCTTCAGGATGTAGGAAATGGTTTTTATCCCTTCCATGTGTGGTGTTCATCCAGCATGCTCTCCTCTCATTACTGAACTGATAATGCAATGATGTGATCATGACATTGTGCTATTGAGATGTCATCTTTAAGACATGATTTTAAAACTGGTAGTAATTGAATCTGATACTGGAAGACATTTCAGCATTTTTCCTGAGAGTAGTCCCTTGGGTCATATTTCAGCTGGAATGATTCAGTCCTGCTTCTCCTTCATCCTCCTATATTTTAAATTAGAAAACACGTTTTTCAGCTTGCTTTTTTAAGCATAGATACATAATTGCTATTGTACTGTGCAAGATAAAGCTAGTTCCTGAGAGTATTTACAGCCCAAAGAATTAATGTTAATTGAATTTTGTAATTATTGATTAAATTGAAATTAAGTGCCTACATAATGTATCTGTTAAATAACTTCTTGAAACTTCAGAAATTTATGATTAAGTTTCAAAAAAATTACTCAGCTTCCCACTCATTTTACCTTTTGAACATTATATCAGAATTATACCAGATTATTGCAGTTGTATCAATGATGTGTAATGACTTTTTTTTCTTATAATAGAATAGATGATTTTACAGGTGTTCACAATATCTGATGTTCCTTACTTATCTTTGGTCCCTAAATTTATAGCCTCGGTCTAGTCAGTGGGTGGGGAGAAGCTTTTTAATTAGTTACTATGATTCACATTTTGAGGGATGAGGGTCAATTATATTAAGCAGTGTGATTATCCTTCGCCTTTTTGTCTATGTGACTAGAAGTGATGAAAGGCATGTGGATATTTAAAAAAAAATTCACCCAGTGGATGGCTGAATTTAAAGAAAATTGTCTTGTAGATATTATTAGTGAATGTTGCAATTCTTCATCTACTATGGCAGTTGATGGTAGCTCGCATTTGGACTAAAGCCAAAGTGTAGGCTTAATTTTGTAGATTAAACTACTTTTTTTATATACTATCTTATTTTGCCTGTAATGTATGGGAGTAGTATTTAAATCCATACTGGAAGTGCTCGTGCAGACTGCTTGTTGATTTAAAAAGTCATTGTTGCTGGACAGACATCAGGGCATTACATATGGCCAAAGTGATTTGGGGAACTTCTGGTTTGGATTTCCAAATGCAAACATTTTTTCCTTAGAACTGCAAAGACAGTTACAGTTCTTACAGAATGTTAATGATAACATACATTATCTTTTGTGAAAATATTTAAATAATGTGGCAGCATTTTTATCTATCACTAGGTATCATTTCATATAGAAATGTACTTTCTCTATTGCTATTGGTTAATACAAGGGAGAAAGGAAAAATCTCATGTATACAGGTGCTCTGCGCCATTTTCTATTTTCTGTCTGCTCTATTTTTACATTTATTCTTTTGCAAAATTGCACATCCAAAGAATTCACTTGTCTGCCCCTGACAGAGTCTTCTGGCTGTTTTCTTATCCTTTGTCTTTAGTGTGGCTCACAAGGCTTGTTTGCCCCCCTACAAGACTAATTTTATGTACTTAGATAATAGCAATAGAAGTCAACTTATTGTGCCTCAACTGGTGCTGCATATCCTTGAACTGTGTCGCTGTGTTTATTCACAAATAGTTCAGCCACACTGCAGATAATTGTCAGCCCTGAAATTTTAAGGTAAGACTTTAGAAGAAGCACAGACGAGCTCTCTTCCATCATGTAAAACCAGACAGATGTTTCCTTACAGTCTTCCTCCTTTTCCAATGGTCTGGAAAAATGATGAATGTTCCTTTTGGTTCTTGCTGATTATATTCTTCAATATTTATAGACTGTTTTTCAATACATTTAGTCACATACTTATTTTCATTTAATCCAACAATATATGCATATTTGTTTATTCTGTCATCAAAGTTCTGTAGTCCATGAAAATAAATCTTTGTTCTCTGGAACTCCCTCCTATTTGTCAGCGTTTTTCTGAAAAAAACATGCACAGAATGAACAAAATACTCCAAACCTAGCCACACAAAAGCCATATCTGGAGAGAAGAAATTCTCTATTCTGCTGTGATACGAAGTCTTTGTATGTTCAATTCAAAGTTACACCAGCATCTTTATAATCATTACCAATTGCAAATTTTCTATCACCTGGTTTTTCCCAGCTCCCTAAGGTATCTTTCACTATTGCTGTTTCCCAAGTTTCTCCTTAGAATTTAATGTGAATTGTTCTTCAAATTCCATTTTATTTCTACAGACTATTTTAATGTCTCTATCCTTCCATTTCTCTGTCCCAAGTAGTGTTGACAACCCTCCTAATATCTATTAGTTGTAATTTTCATGTGTTCTGTCTTTTTGTTTGCTTTCCCTTCAACTTTGTTAATGAAATAAGATGCCTGTGACACAACAGGGTATGTCATGTTATAGCCATACTCTCACAGCAACACTTGTTCCCCCCAGATTAACCCAAATCCACTAAGACATTGCAAATCACAACTTCCATTTAATAGGCAATAATTTAAACTTGAAATAATATGTAGGTTTTTTCATCCTCCCTGGTTCAAGTAATGCCTTTCCAGAGCAGCAGGATTTCTAGTATTGTTCGTTGTGAATATGGGAGTACTTCTTCTGTTGTTCTTCAGCAGTATTCAGCTCTTCCTAGTGCCATACCAAAAACATCTTGGTGTTGTCACTGGGCAAAAGAAACTAATTTTCTTTTTACAAACTGGCACTTCAGTATGGCTCCATAGTGAGGAGGAATGAAATCTTCATCTCACATGGGATGTTAGTCATTTTGTGATAGGAATACTATGAAATTGTACAACCTCTAATTACCCAGGCTGTTGTTTCAGTTTCTCACCCTTCAGTATTCAAGGTACCCTCCAATTTAATAACGTTTTTCAGCCTTTATTTTTGTAGTCTATTTTAAGGCTGTAGTTTTCCAT